TGTGTGCCTTACAAGAAATCACAGAACTGTGAAATAAGGAAAACAATCCCAACTTTCAGTACAACCCCTCGTGTGCAGTGACATTGAACATACACAAACCTATAGATTTTTTTTCAAAACTCATTACTTTTCCATCTTAGGCTACCCACATACTTGCAAGAACAGCCATAACACAACTTTTTGTAATTAATAATTTCATTACCTGAAAAACATCTTTAAAAATAAAATATTGGTATGTGGGCTAAGTTTGACTTCCAAATGCAGTACATGTTAGTTTTTAAGTTCACATCTCTTTGGACCCTTTGTATCTATTTGGTAACATAGAAATGGTTTGCAGCTAGATTCCAAACTGTGAGCAATATAAAAAAAAAATGTATAAATACAGAAAACCTACAGTTGCTCACTATACTAATTGATGTTCTAAACCACTAAAGCCTGTGATACTAAACAGCCCTAAATCTACGCAGACTGAATGCAACGTGCATTTTGTCTTTTTCTTAGTTACAAATTTGCACTAATAACAATCCTGATGACGTGATTACATCCAATAATTTCACAAGCACTTCAGATCAACTCCACCACTAACAGGGCTATAAAGTCTATACTGAGGGATGGGCAAGGTTTCTCTTCAATGCACATCTTAAATTCTTCTACTGCTGTATTTAACAGAAATTCTGCAGATAGAAGAAAAAGAATATTTACAAAGTCTAACATTATTTTTTTAAACTGAAAGATTAAGTTGTGTGGATTTTTGAACACAGGATATAATTTTCTTTGTAATAAGCCTGGAAAATGTAGTACTATTTAGCAATGTTTTTGTTTCAGGTGGAAGGTAAAAATAAATCTGTACTAACTCTAAGATTTTACTCTTTCAGGTCTTCATTTTCTAAACTAAGTCTTCAGGAAACAAAAAAGGCGTATTTTCAGACAAGAGCAGCAATTAAGTGTGATTAACTCCAGCTGATTTAAAGACTAAGTATATTCCAAACTGACCAAAATACCCTGCTCCTGATTCAGAACAGTGGTAAAAACTGCAGTAACACGCACACAAATACAAAACAGAGAATACACAAAAAGAGCATTACTCCAAAAAAAGGCTGTATGTGGACTATTGCAACAAGAAAGGAAATTCCTGCATGAGTCTAAAAATAATTGTGAAAACATAAGCATAAGGTTGCAAAAGCTACGAAACTCAAAGAGACTCCTCCCACCAACATCTACTCAGTCAGAATGGGTTTAAAATAGGCTCAGGTGCTGCACCTGCCTCTGTGACCCTCCTCATTTTCTGCTGTTCAAGGTCATCTTTCCTGTTTTTGAAACAAACTTCTCTCCGTGCCCTGACACAAACATCCACACCCACAGCAGCAGGGAACCGACACCTGAATAAAGGAAAGCAGGATTTTCATCCAGTCTTTATAGCTGAGGCACCACAGCAGCATATAAGTTCAAAAAATAAGTCTCAGCTTGCCCTTAAACACTACTTGCATTTAAGTCTTGCATGCAAAATTTCAGACTGCAATCCCTTTTACTTGCTCTAGTACAGGTTCTGAGGGTAAAAGTTTAAGATAAAACAAACACAGACTTAATTTAAATGCTACTTTTAAGTTTTCTGAAACTGTTGGCAAACAAATAACAACACTTCTAATTCTTGACCAGCACATAAATCTAGTTTCCTTGTGTCACTTCCCTTTAAAGTTCAGCCTATTCAGCACTTGCACAATAAAATATGAGTATGCAATTAATAAGTTGCATTAGTAATATTTAAGTAATGCTTAAATAAACAGGAAGTTACCTTCACATCCACTAGAAATGCACAGTAGCTAAAAAAATAAACATTAAAATTAATTATAGCCGTTAGGAAAAGAGGCTCTTCTATCTCTATTTTAAGAACAGCTCTCTTACTTTCCAAAGGGCTAAAACTGCCCAAGGAAATAAGTGCAGACAGTGCTGTTACAGCCACTAAAAAAGGGACATGGTTAAAACTGATGTTAACATCAGCTATCTCCTTTATCCGAAACAAGCATGACAGTGATAGATATTTCTTTGTTCTGAACTGTTTCATCTGTGTTATTCTGGAAAAATTCTGTACGGTATTGTATAACAGTAATGTTTGGCAAAGTGCAACATCAGTGGGGTTTTTTGTTATCTTACTGTCTAATCAAAACTGTTGGCAAAGTCATAGAAGTCTTGGCAGGGGCTGTGCTTGGATAGGTCACCATATAATTGAAGTACTGGTGTTAATGTCACCTTAGGCATTATTCTGTTTTAAGTAATTAAATGTTTTCTCCTCATAAACCTGCATCTCTTCATTGTCTTGAAAAAAAAAGAAAAGAGAGTAAAGGTATTAAAAATAGTTACATGATGAAGCTTTAGGCCACGAGAGGTGCTACTTTGCCTTTTGGGTCACAGAATCCAAACAGAGCTTCTAAAGGTGAGTCTCCTAGGAAGATTTAGGCTCTGATTTGCACAAATTTGCTCAGGGGTAGTCCCAGCCTGAATTCACCATTGAAGAGCTGAGGTTTTCCATATGAAAAGTATGACTCTTACAAATTTCATAATTAGGATTTAGTCTATACTGAGTCAAGATCTGAAACATTTGAGAAACTTTCTTTTTTCATGGTCTGAAAGATTTCCCTGTTACTTGCACTTTTCACAAGGCTAATTAACAGGTTTCCCAAAAATAATCTCTTTTGTTGCCTCATTTCTTCCATAAAAAACCCTCCTGTTTTCTTCTTGCCACAAAATTGAGAACAAAACAGAGAAAAATACAACTGAAGCAGTTTTTTTTATTATTCCAATTTCAGAAATTACCGCAATGTAGTATTTAGTTCTTCAACTTAACTCTTTGATATTTTCCTACAGCCTTACAGGCAACAAATCTCACCACATATTAACTCAGGGTGGGGAATAAACAAAGCAACCTCATTTTCAGGTGTAGACTGTTGACTGCAACTTCTATTAGTGAAGCTGTATTAGGACAGCCATACAAGTATTTACTAAAGCACTTCCCTTCTTAAGAAGACCCAAACAAACCACTGCCAATGTGCTTTAATACATATCAAGTAACTACCCCTTATCCTTTACATTTATAGGAAAAATCTATTAAAATTTCTTTCTCCATCCTAACTCTTCATGCTGACCCATTCGAGAGGCTCTACTTGCTCCAGTCCTGCAGTTTATGGGTCACAGTTCTCTTTTAAGAATTTCCAGTGACAAACACCTCAAACCCTTGGGATTTAGCACGACCCCCACGCCGCTTCCCCCGAACACGGAGGGCACAAATTCCCACATCCAGACCCGACACATCCTCGCCGGGACTGAGCTGGAGACAGGCACAGCACACCCCCAACACCAGAAGGCACCACTTTCTCCACTGGTCATGGTCATGCTTCTCTCACCTCTCCCACCGACCGCTTGATACTGGGTTCACGCTTTTAATTTTTTATTATTCCCATTTCTCTTCGTCATGTATTTTCTCGGGAATATCTCCCGTGATTTTGCACAGCTGAGGCAACACCGAGCCCAACATCGCTCGTGCTGTGGAGCCAGTAAAGCCACGCTCAAGGGCAGCACTTAGGGTTTAAAACGAGGTTAAAACGCCACTTCGGGGGGACTTGGGGGGAGCCGGAACAAGGAGCGGGGTGTGGTGATGAGAGACCGAAGCGCTCGGTGCCTCAGCACGGGGAGACCGGGGGAGGGGGGACCGGGGCAGGGCCACGCCTGGCCGGGGACCCCCGAACTGAGCCCTCCCCGGGGGCGGAGGGCCCGGCCCGGCCCACTCACCGCTCATGGTGCTCGCGGGGCTCCGTCCGCCGGGGCCGCCGCTCTCCGCTCAGCCACGGCCGGGCCGGCAGCGACCGCCCGCCCCGGAACCCGCCCGCGCCCCGGAAGGTAAACACGGCCCGGCGTGTGGGGAGCGCAGCCAGCCCGGGGACCCTCACGGTGTCCTCGGGGCCCTCAGGGTGTCCCCCGGGCCCTCACGGTGTCCATCGGCTCGGAGCCCTTCGCCGAGCCCCACCGCAACCCCACAGACCGCGGCAGCCCCGCCCGCCCGGGCTGAGCCACTCTGTGGGGCGGGAAGGGACACCGGGCAGAGGATGGGGGAGAGAAGGGGAGATAAACTGTCCTGTGCTTGGAGGGGGACTGTGCGAGGTGAAAGCTCGGAAATTGTCATTAAAAAAAAAAAAAAAAAAGTACAAAAACTGCGAAACAGAAAATATAATAATATGTGGTCCAACACGCAGAACATAGTGGCAATAATCAAAAGAACAGATTTTGTGGTATAACTAGAACAGTAGCTGGTAATGGAAATGGAGTTTCACAGCCAGTCTGAGGTTTTTTACCAAGCCACGGTCACTGCAAGCACCTTCTTCCACTGGGCATGTTAATGTTTCCCTTTGAAGTGTGTGTCTGTTCTCTAAAGGCAGTAAAAGCTGTCCTGTGTAAGAGCTTTCAGGAATTAAAAAGTCCAAAATAAATTTGATAGCTCTCTATCTAGGCCTGTTTCAGAGTTTTTGGCTCTGTATGCCCAGACCTATGCAGCTAAATCCCAACCGGCCCAAGCTTTGTGTCAGCCTCCTAAAGCTGTTCGAAATGGTATCGTTCATAGATTTTGTGCAATAATTTACTAGTCCTAAAGTATTTTGATTTGTTATTTGTGCAAGAAACTGAAATATAAGGTTAGCTATCAATAAAGAAGATTGTTGGGTTGGCATTTTTTTCTGTTGTTGCAGTTTTCCAGGAATAAAAGTGACCTAATATTAGGAAAATAACTTTAATGTTTGAAAGACAAGGGGACAAAAGTGTATTCCTAATATTAGGCCACACAGTAGTCTAGCATGACTCTTGGTAATCACCAATCTTTGTAAATATGATAAAGGTAGGTATCGTAGAGGCTATTTGAACTTATTCTTTACAACCCTGAGGATATATAGTGGGTCTTTATTTCTGCCTTTTGGAACGTTCCTTGTGTCCCATCAAGTAATTTTTGGCACAAGATCTGAGTTTAACATAAAGCATATATTTGCACACTTGTTTATTGATGGGTTTGTATTGTAGATACAATCTTTAAGGTCAGAAAAGGCTGTCCTATGTAAGGGCTTTCAAAAATTAAAAATTCCAGTAACTAGTTTGTAGAAATACTTGACTAGAGAAATACTAGCATTAGAAATAATATGACAACATTAATGAAAGCTCAGTGGAAGATCTATAAGGACAATATACTACTTCCTCCACTGACTGCAAGTATTAAGATTAATCACTATACTGGAATAACTCATTTATTATTACACAGTAAAAATATACTACTCTCATAGTCATCCAACACCCAGAACATAGTTGCAATAATCAAAAGATTTTGTGGTAACTAGAACAGTCGCTCGTTCTTCAGTAGCTGGTAATGGAAATGAAGTCTCACAGCCAGTCTGAGGTTTCACCAAGCCACAGTCACTGCAAGTGCATTCTTCCACTGAATACATTAATGTTTCACTTTGAAGTGCGTGTCTAATTTCTTCTGTATTCACACTGCTGTCAGTATTAGCCTTGAGAACATTATTCAGCTCCACAGAGGAGTCTGTAAATATATGGAAGTTAATTTAGAAGATACATCATGCTATATCAAACATACAGTTATTAAAGATCCAAATTTCATTGTGTTCCAGCTATCTTCTAGCCTTAGTGAAAGTTTTAAGAAATAGTGAAAGTTTTAAGATGTAGTTATATATGATGATCTTTTGTTCTGTGAAAATATAACTGCTATTCTTCAAGCACTGAAGTAATCAAACACATATTTTCTAATAAGTTATTATTTATTGTGTGAAAACTCACAAATATAGTATTTGTAAAATGTAAAAATAAATTTTTTTAATTGAATGTCACAAAAAATATACTACATAGGCTTCTCATACACTGCAATACTAAATTATAAGATGAAAAGCTAATATTGAATGTGTATCCTCTACCTGTGTAGAATTCCTGTTGCATTCAACGAGAAGAGCCCTTAAAAAGATTTTTTGCTATTGAGGGTTCATAAATGATTTCTCAAACACCAGTAAGTAAGCCAGGTATAAATATACAACCATACAATCCTGGCAGGGTCTGGAACCAACAAAGAGAGATTCCTGCTTTTGCAAGTCACCATCTGGATATTTTATTGCCTAATAACTTTGGAGACTATTTGAGGAAGACAAAACAATCCAACAAAGTAAATCACCCCAATCTGGAACATAAATGATATGCAAAATTTGTACATGGTAAGAGAGCTAAAATGTACAGTGATCTCCGATTATTTATAAAGAATCTTATTTATTCACCTGTGTTTTCCAGTTTTTCTTTTAATTGCTTGAGGCGCTTCCTTTTAAACAGGACCAATAAGGTGAGCAGAGTGAGCATTAAAATTACTCCCAAACCCAAACAAATCCAAAGAATTCCACTTGAATCGGTACCTTATGAAATAAAAGAGATGCGTTAAATTAATCATTAACAATCACTAATGTACAGTAAACATGTCCAGCGCATAAAAGCTCAGTGTCAAATACGACCCAGGACTGCCCAGCACAGCCACAGGACTTTCAGCAAAGCACTTACGCTGCTCACAGGAGTTCTCACACGAAGGCGGTGGCGAACTGGAACATCGGAGATGACAAGGCGTACAAGAGAGCAGCAAATGATCAAAGTATTCATTTTGGGGGCAGGGTGCCATCAGGGGCAGTAATTATGGAAGTGCAAAGCCACAGAAGTTGTAAAAGAGTGAGGATCATCTAGGACTTCTCAGTTCTCAGTTTGAGCAACTCGAAGAGCAGCTAGCAATAATGGACTTCCATCACAGCCCCATGACATAGTATCACGTTACAGAGAAAGGATTTAACTCTGAGGTCCCCAAGGAATTACTGTTCCTTTTTTGGCAATTCACAATTGTAGAAAAACTGAGCAGCTGCACCAATTTTGTCTGAAACAGAAAATACTTATTTATAGAAGGCATTTCTTGGACAGGTGCTAAACATTACAAACCCTAAGA